GCCCATGCCACAATCCCTTCTCCTCCATTCTCCTCTCGGGATCTTGGGCACGCACGCACACGCACCTGGCGTGAGTCTAAGCCGCTGAGTCCAGGACTCAAACCGCGGTCGACTCCATGGGAGTCCAACGACATAGCCATTTTGCTAACTCCTGGTCTTCAGGTGCGTTCTCAATTACCTGCTCTCTCTGACCATCCGACAAATTGAAAAAAAAAAAAAGTAGACAGGTTAATTTAAGAGATTCTACACACACAAGATGAATTATATTCTGATAAGAAATGAGAGCTATCGGGGCCAGCCAGGTTATATTGTGGTTAAGGCAGTTGTATCCCACATGACTGACTACACAGCTTGAATCCCAGACCTGGCAGCTTGGAAAACATGCCAGGTGCATGTGCATGCATGCCCCAAATCCCGGAGAATAGAGAATGCATGGCCGTTCACTCTGGGAGGTGATTTCTTACTTTCCCTCTCTCTCTCCCTATCCTTCTCTGTCTCTCCGGTAAGAGTACATGCTCTACATAACAAAAGAAAAAAAAATTAAGTTTCTAAAAAGAAGTTAAAAAAGAAATGAGAGCTATCTCTGCCAGTCATTCTCATATTCAATCAGGCCAATTTACTACATGGAGTTCTTGACTTCCCATGAGACAAATTCAGGAGAAATTCCATGAGGCCTATCAACTAGATGTATTCCAGAAACAACTTCTTTTAATAAAAAAGGCCAGCTGCTTCTTCAGAGAATAAAGAATTGGCCTTGTGAGAACCATCTTCTGCTAAGGTATTTGACATATGTTGACAAAGTAATTTCTTTGTGGTCTCCTACATTTCCATAAATTTTCTATTGTGAACGTCTGTGATCAGGAAGAATGCTTCACCCAGGGAAACATAACGCCACTGTGTGGTAAACACTCAGTACACTTGTTTTTGTTTTAAATAGTCTTCCTTCCAGTCCAGCAGGTGGCGTGGTAATTAAGGCAGTTGGACTCTCTCGTGGCCAACCATGGTTCAAGTCCTGGACCTGGTGGCTTGAAAATCACACTGGGCACTTGCATATGCATACCCAAAATCTCAGAGGGAGAATGGAGGAGAAGGGGCTACAGCGTGACCATTCCCCCGGGACGGGGGAATGCAGTGAGCACATATGCCCTATGGCAAAAACAAAAACAAAAAAACAAAAAGCTAAAAAAAAGTTCATGGGAAATGTGTATTATGAAAAAGTTATGCATGGGTTTCAAGAATTTTTGTACCAAAATAAACTCATACCTTAAATTCTGTTTGTTCACGAACTTCTTGAAGTCCTCTCAAATATCTACACAACAACCCATTATTCAGCCTTAAAAAGGAAGGAAATCCTGCCATGTGTGATAATGTGGGTGGGCCTGGAGGACATTGTGCTGAGTGAAATAAGCCAGACAAAGAGAGACAAATACCACATGATCTCACTTAATGTGGGATCTAAAAACGTTGAATTCACAGAAACAGCAGAATGGTAGCTAGGGTAGTGGGATGGTGGGGGTGGGGAGACGTTTGTCAAAGGGTGTGAAGTTTCAGTTATACCAAGAGGGCAATTTGGAGAGCTAGTGTACAGCACAGTGACTGTGGTTAGTTAATAAAAACATATGGCAGTTTTGAAATGTGTTAAGAGAGTCGATCTTAAGTCTTCTCACCAACACATACACACAGAGTAACTATGTAAGAGTGATGGATATATTAATTCACTTGATTGTGCTAGCCATTTCAATGTATATATATATATATATATATATATATATCAAAATACCACATTGTATAATCTAAATATACATAATTTTTATCTGCCAGTATATAATTGATAACATAAAGTTTTAAAATAAAACCCTGAAACTTCTCATTTTAAGTAAACTTTTCCTAAAATATTTTAGCGACCACTTTCTAACTATTTAATTATTTAAAAATATGTATAGTGGGGCAGGCAGGTGGCATGGTGGTTAAAGGTGCTGGACCCTCACATAGCCCATTGTGATTTGAGTCCTGGACCTGGCGGCTTGCTTTCTCACTTTCTCTCTCTCTCTCTTGCTCTGTCCCTCTCTGGTCAATTAAACAAAATAAAGTTAAATAAAATAATTCTTTAAAAGATGTATAGCAATATGATTGCTTTCTTAAAAATTATTGATGTCAGTTAAATTGCTAGCTTTGATAACAGCATTTATAATTCAAGTTAATTATAAATGTCAATTATAAATTGGGGCCAGAATGTAGTGTGGAGGTTAAGGCTGCTGGACCCCCACATGGATGACTGAGGTTCGAGGGCCAGACCTGGTGACCTTAAAGTCACACCAGGCACTTGTGCATGTGTGCCCAAAATGCCAAGAGAAGGGTGGAAGAGAAAAGACTGGCATGGCTATCCCCCTGGGGAGTGATTTACCACTTTCTCTCTCTCTGTCTCCAATGAGTACATACACCCAATAGCAAAAATAAAAAATAAAATAACAGACTGAGCTATTAAGCATCAATTTTCCAATTACTGTGAGACATGCGTGTGTAGAGTATTTTCAGCTTTGTAGATGCAGTATTGTAACTTTACTGGTTGTAAATTTGCAAGTGCAAAGTTTTTTTTAAAAGTATTTATGTATTTAATTCCATTTGTTATAACTATAGATATATATTTTTAAACTTTACCAGAGAGAGACAGAGACGGAGAGAGAGGGAAAGTGAGAAAGCAAGCCAGGTCTGGGACTTGAACTGCAGTTGACCATTTGGGAAGCCAATACCTTAACCACCACGTCACCTGCCTGCTCCAGACACCAGTAAAATTTTTCTTAAGATTATTTAATTTTATTTATCATCTTCATTAATATTATTTTTTAATTAGAGAGAGAAAGAGAAAGAGAGAGAGAGAGAAAACATGAGAGTAAGTGAGAAAGTAAGCCACCAGGTCCAGGACTCGAACCTCAGTCAGCCATGTGGGAGTCTAGCACCTTAGCCACCATGCCACCTGCCAGCCCCAAAACTGGTCAATTTTTCTTTTTTTTTAAAGCCGGTAAATTTTAAACAGGCCCCTGAAGACCCTGCATGGGGAGCTTTTTTCCCATATGCCAAAGAATCTGAGCCTAGGCCAAACCTAGAAGCATGTCTGGAGACCTGGCAGTGGCTTAAAGGAATAACAGGTAAAAGTGGGAAGGACACTTCAGAAACATATTCCCCAAATTGGAGCCCTTAAACTTCATTTTACATGCTAACGCTGATCAGTTGGTAGGGCTTTCAGAACTGCTCAATTGAAAAGAAAGCTAAAGTCATCACCAAACTTGGTTAAAAAAAAGAAAAGAAAAGAAAAAGCTATGATTGATTAATCCTGTCTGCCATGGGTACAGGTAGGGAGGAATAGGGAAGAAACTGGGAGTCAAAATGAAGATAAAAGGAGATGGAGAGTTCCTGAAAGGTATTGGTGAGTGTCTTAACTATGTCAGTCTGTGCACATTAGTGGAAATATCATGGGCTTTGTCATTAGGCAGAATTGACTTTGATTCTTGGTTCTGACCCATTTATTAGCTGTGTAATCTTGGACAATTTATGAAACCCCATCTGTAAAATGGGATCATTTTGCAGATTAAATGAAATAACATGTAATAATAGATATCACTCACCCAAAATTTCTATGTGCCAGGCATTGTTCTAAGAACTTTACGTATCATAATTCATTTAATTATCACAACATCCCTAAAAGGCAAAGTGGACTGGCCAATGGCTCTCAGAGCAACACACCTGAGTTTTATCAGGACCTTACCCACGACTCTCCATCTATGAGAAACACACACTGTGGTGGAAGGAAAACTCAGAGAATGTGAACAACTAGTAGAAAATAGATCCTGATGGGGACCAGGAGGTGGAATGGTGGTTAAGGCACTGGACACTCCCATATGGCTAACCACGGTTCAAGTCCTGGACCTGGCAGCTTGCTTTCTCACTGTCTCTCTCTGTGTCTCTCTCTGGTCAAATTAAAATAAATGAATGAATACATTTAAAAAAGTAAAGTAATTATAAAAAAAAGAATCTTTTTAAAAAAAGAAAATAGAGCAAAGGTTGCATTTCAACAAGAAAGGATACGGCCTATTCCATTCTTTGCTCCTCCTCCTGCAAGGGTGATGATCCCACCGTCCCCCTGTCTCCCAGGTCCTTCTCACACCGAGGTGATACCAACACCTCTCATGATGCCAATGATGGGCCCTCTTCCTCCTGGGACAGTGCCTGTGGGGCCTGCTCCTAGAACGAGGCCTCCACGGAAGGCCACATGCCAGTGATGTCTGGGCCCCCAGTAATGAGACCCTTCATCTGTCCTATGATGGTGCCTACAAGGCCAGGAGTGACTCAGCCAGACAGATAAGGGAGGGAGGCGACCTCTTAATGTCAGGATTTTTTTTTAAGGTTTTCCATAGGGCAGGTGTACTAGCCAGAGGGAGGTAGAGAGAGAGATGGAAAGTGGAAAAAGCATCCCTCGTGGGGGTATGGTCTCACCACAACCCCCTCTCCTCCATTTCTCCCTCCTTTTTGGGCAAGTACACACACATGCCCAGCATGTTTTTCAAGCCTCTGGGTCTGGGATGTGGACCACGTGGTTGGCCATGTGGGATTCAGCAACCTTAACCACCATGTTTTGCCAGAGGGTATGTGTGGTCACCAGAGCGGAAACCATGAGAGGGAGAGTGAGAAATCACCAGAGGCGATGAGCATGCCACAATCCCTTCTCCTCTACTCTCCTCCTGGGATTTGGGGCACACAGGCATGTGTGCCTAGCTTGAGTTTCAAGCCACCAGGTTGACTCAAACTAAGGTTGGGCATGTGTGAGTCCAGCGCCTTAACCCACCTTGCCACCTACTGGCTCCAACTTGTTCTTCACCAGGAGAGTGTGGTGCTGCAACTCTGGGTGTTGATTTACTCCTCTGTCCTTTTTTTAAAAGAGCATACTTTTGGAGCGGAGACATGAGACAAAATAAAAAGTGCAGTTTCCATTAGTATCATGAACTACGAAAAAATTATTAACTCTAAAACAAACAAAAAAACTCTTAAAACATTATCCCAATATACCAACGAAGAAACTAAGACTCAAAGAGGTTGAGACCTACCGAGGATCGCGCACCTAATGAATGGCAGAGGCAGGATTCACGCCAGGCGAGCTGGCTCTGAATTCATATTCTGAACCACTTTAGTAGTTACTAGAGGGGCCGACAGGTGGCATGGTGGTTAAGGCACTGGACTCCCACATGACTGACTGCAGTCTGAGTCTCGGACCTGGCAGCTTGCTTTCTCATCAAACTAATAACAACAATAATAATAATAAATAAGACTAAATAAATAATTCTTAAAAACTAGTAGAGGGATGGGCAGGTGCCATGGTGGTTGAGGTACTGGCCTACCACATGGTTGATCACAGTTTGAGTCCCAGACCTGGAAGCTTGCTTTCTCACTTTCCCTCTCCCTTTCTCTGTCTATCTCTCTCTAGTTAGATTAAAAAAATAATAAAAATAAAAATAAATAAATAAACAAAATAGGGGGCCGACCATGGTTCAAGTCCTGAGCCTGGCAGCTTGCTTTCTTACTCTTCCTTTCTGTCTGTCTGTCTAGCTCTGATCAAAATTGAAGAATAATGATAATAAATAAAATTGAAAGTAAATCAATCTTTAAAAAATAATAATAAATAAATAAAATAATTCTAAAACAAAATAGGAGAGCCGACTACTTCCCATTGCTGTCCCTATGTGTCAAGCAATTGACCTACGGTGTGTGATTCGACTTAACTCTGTATGGCTTGTACCCTGAAGCTCTCACTTGCATGAAACACGTTTGACAGAGCATTTCATCTTAAACCTTATGAGCTAAAAAGACATAAATAAGACCAGGGTACAGATTCATCCAAAGAAAAGAGAAAGGAAGACGAAATCAGGACTCAGGAATTGGGCTTCTAACAACAGAAAGAAAGTTTGCCTTTTTCACTCCTTTGTTTTGGTTTTTGCTACAGGGTGTGTGCACTCGCCAAAGAGAGCTAGAGAGACAGAGAGAATGAAAGTGAGAAAGTACCTCCCGGGGCGATGGCCATGTCACAATCCTTTCTTCTCCATCCCCCTCTTAGGATTCTGAGCATGCAAACACACACACCTGGCATGTCTTTCAAGTCACTGGGTTTGGGGCTCAAACCATGCAGCATGTGGGATTTGCCCACCTTAAACACCATGCCACCAGCTGACCCCAACTTTTTTTACTTTTTGCTATAGCATGAAAGGTTTACTCAAGATCCCCCAAATACACAGGACATCTGTCTCAATCCATTTGAGTGCCTATAACAAAATACTATAAACTGGGTGACTTAAAAACCAAACATTGTTTCTCACAGCTCTGGAGACTAGGAAGGCCAAGATGAAGGTACTGGGAGATTCTGTGTCCGGAGAGGAAGCGCTTTCTGTTTCACAGATGGCACCACGTACCTGGGCCTCTCATGGTAGAAGGGATGAAATAGTGCCCTTGAGCCCATTTTATAAGGGCACTAATTCCATTCACTAAGGCTCTGTTCTCAATCACCTCCCCAGAGGCCTCACCTCTTAATACCCTCACCTTGGGGATTAGGGTTTCAGCATATGAGTTTTAAGGGACACAAACATTAGGACCCTAACAATAGGGAAGCAGGACAAGGGTGTCTGCAGCTGTTGAAGACTGGTCCTACTTTCTCCCGTGCTGCAATGAGACGTTCTTTCAAAAAAGGCTCTTGACTAGGAGTCAGCAAACTATGAACCCGCAAAGCCAAACCTGCCTGTTACTTGTTTTTATAAATAAAGTGTTGCTGGAACACAGCCGTGCTTATTCTTTGATGTTTTGTCTACAACTTTCTCATACTGGAACAGCAGAATTGAGTAATTGCAACAGAGACTATATGGCCCACAAAGCCTACTATATAGTGTTTTGCAGAAAAAGATTGTTCTCGGGGCTGGCAGTTAGTGTGGTGGTTCAGGGTGCTGAGCTCCCACATGGCTGACCATGTTCGAATCCTGTACCTGGTGGCTTGCTTTCTCATATTCTCTCTCTTCTCTCTCTTTCTCTCTCTCTCTCTCTCTTGCTCTCGCTCTCGCTCTCTCTGTCCCTCTCTGGTAGAATTTAAATAAATAAATAAATAAGTTAAATAAATAAATAAATGAGTTTTTTTAAAAAGAAATAGGTTGTACTCTAGGCCAGATTTTACATATATCAACACGGCACACTTAACTGGTCTCACATTCTTCTTTTTTCAATAATTATTAATTTAATTTAATTTATGATTATGATTATGATTATTATTTTAATTTGACCAGAGAGAGAGAGAAAGGGAAAGTGGGAAAGCAAATCACCAGGTCTGGGACTCAAACCATGGTTGGCCTTGTGGGAGTCCAGCGCCTTAACCACCATGCTACCTGCTGGCCTCATTCTCCATTCTTAACCAGGGAAGGGAGAGCAAGGCATCCCCTTCAATGTTCACTAGGAAATGTATAAAGTGGAATTTCTGTAAGAGGAATCAGGGCCAGCAAGTGGCCCTAGAGTCAAGGGGCTAGTGTGTTTTTCAAGCCACTGGGTCTGGGACTCAAACCATGTGATCAGCCTTGCAGGATTCAGCTACCTTAACTACCACTCCATGGGCTGGTCCACTGTGGTTCTTAATGCAATTATGTTTTGCGAACTCTAAGAGGGTGGTGTAGTTTGGAGTGTATTGTTCCCATGGGACTATGTTTTTGGAACATTCTTTGGAAAATACTGAAATAAAAGAAGTATTTAGAATCATGTTCTTTGGAAATGAGAAATGAAAAACTATGTTGGCTGTGACTTAATAAACAGATTTTTTTTTTTTTTAAAGTGAGAAAGCACCCCCTGGGAAGGATAGCCATGCTGCAGTCTCTTCTCCATTCTCAGGATTTTGGGCACATACTCACATGCACCCAGCATGTTTTTTAAACTTCTGGGTCCAGGACTCAAACTGCACCATCAGCTATGTAGGATCCGGCTGCCTTTACCACCATGCCACCTGCTGGTCCTGAACATGTCTTTCTTTTGTGCATATGTGTGTGCGTATGTGTTTTGCTGGATTGCTCAAGCACTCTGTAGAGAGAGAAAAGGCCCCCTGTGAGGTGTGGTCATGCCTCAATCCTTTTCCCTCCATTTCTCCATCCCTCTGGGATTTGGGGCATACATGGGCACACACACCTGGTGTTTTGTTCAAGCCACCAGGGCTGAGATTCAAACTAGTCAGCCATGTGGGTCCTGGCTCTCAACGTACAGGGCTTACCGGCTGCACTAAGAGACAGGCCCTGAACGTGTCTTTCTCTCAGTCAAGAAAGAGGAAGAACAAAGAAAAACAGAGCCAGCAGAGATAAAAAGGAAGGAGTTTGGAGGGAGGATGGAAGAAAGCAGGACATCTCTGGAGAGACAACACATGAGGATATGGGGAACACTTGGATGACCAGTTGGAGGAACAATGTGTTAAAAGCAAGGTGATGGGACCCACAGATGGCGTAATGGTTATGTCACTAGATTCCTACACAGTCAATTAGCAGTTTGAGTCCTGACTCAGCAACTTAAAATTCATGCCCTTGCATGTGCATGCATGCCCAAAATCCCAAGAGGGGAATGGAGGAGAAGAGATAGCGGCGTGACCATCTCCCCTGGGTGTAATTTCTTGCTTTCTGTCTCTCTGTTTCTCTGGTGAATGCTCCCACCCTATAGCAAAAATCTTTCTAAAAAAAAAAAAGCAAGGGGTTGCCAAACACAAGACATGTGGTCACTTTTGTCATCACTACTGCCATCAACCCCACCAGAGGTCACCCCTCCCTGAGCCTCATTGCTTTGCATCATCTATATTATAGCCTTCATAGATACGATGTGGTTTAATTCCCAGTTTACAGATGAGGAAACAGAGGCACATGCTAGGTAAGTGATTTATCCAGAAACAAGTTTAGAAAGCTTGTAAGTGGCAGTGTGTGGATTCAATCCTGTCTGACCCCAGAGCCCTCGTTCTCGCTGCCGCCCTCACAGTGCTGTTCCCACCTGCACTAGAGCGAGGGCTAGAGATCCATCACGTAAGACGAAAAGGACATTGTACAGAAGGGCGACACCAAAACCCTGGAGACAGAGGAAAAGACAACCACCAACCAACCACGCAATGGCACTGTGGGTATTTTGCTGCATGGGGCTAAACAGCTGGAAGGCCAGTTGTTTCCCACAGCATCGTATTTTCTCTCTTTGTCTCCTTTTACTCTTGGGCTATCTCTTCTTAAGCCATGAAAGATAGACCAGGCTGTATCAGGCTTATCTGCTGTATCACACTCACCCATAAAGTGAACGCAGACCATTTTTGCATGTTAAAAAAACATTTCAACCCGAACGCTGTGACCGCTGTATTCACAGTAAGCCTTATGTAGATTTCCACGACTGTCAGTTCTTTTATTAGTGACGGAGACCCTCAGAACAGTTTCCTAAACAGAGTCCAAAAGCATGAGTCACAGCTCAGTTAAATCATTTGTGGCTCAGAAACGACCTACTTTAAAGGCTCGAATTGATCCACATCCTATTTAACTGCTGATTTCTATGCTCGAAATTGGATGCAGGGACCTGGCAGTAGTCCAGGTGACGCTCTACAGAGGCTGGCCCACATGGGAAGGTGCCACGGTCCCATTAGGTGACCTCCCTGGGTAGACAGGACACCTGAGTAAAGCCAGCAACCACGTGCCTACCATCCGGCCAGTGAAGGCTGGGGCTAAAGGGCAGTGTCTAGACCCTGTTAATTCTGTCTCTATCACTCCTAAATGAAAGAAAGAAACTTTTTAAAAAAAATCTAATGTAAATAGTTCGGGGGAGAGAAAGGGGGAGATAAACCCAGGACTGGAAAAGCCATCCAGAATGTGAAAAACTTGCACATTGAGTATTCTGGATTTGCTGTGATGAAAAATAAAAAAAATCCGTTGCAATGCTACCAATACACACGATGGGGCTTCCGAAGGTGAAGTCTGTGGGACAGTGACTCCTCTGAGCTACCCTCCTGAGTGTAGCAAACGGGACTGCCGGAGCAGGCCAGGGTGAAAGCAAAGACTGCTCGCTGTTCGTACATGTCTATTTACCTTGTGAACGGTGAAGTTGGGTTTTGGGCTCCTCCGTTCCCAAGAGCTGCAGGGCAGAGGGTTCAGTCCCGGCGGGCCCTGGGCTGAGGCCCTTCACGCTGCTGCGCCGGCTTCTAACAACCCTTTGGAAATCCCAAACGGCTGCAGAGTCCCCAGGCCAAAGCTATGTTTCCAAGAGTCTTCCCTCCCGGCCCGCACGTCCCTGCTTGCGCTGACTTTGCAGCGGCTCCAGTTTCTTCCAGCGAAGCAGCTGGGAATCCAGGCGTTGCGCTGGCAGTGAGGCGCCCGAAACCACTTCCAGATGTGCTGGGACCAAGCGGCCAGACTTCCTCTCGCAGCCTGGCCCAGCCGTCTGCGTGCAAACCATTTTGAAAACAAGCCTGTTCTGTTCAAACCAGCAAAGAGCAAATGCTTGGAGGGTGAATTAGTTTTTTCTTTAAAAAACAAACAAACAAACAAACAAAAAACACCACACAGTTGCCTCTGCCATAAACTTGGAGAGAGCAGGAGTGAAAAATCAAGTTCGTATTGAGTTTGAGAATCTTAGTAGCCACTTGCTTCTGAAATCACCTAGTCATTAAATAATGTCCCCGTTTAAAACCCAAATAACAACCTGGTCTCATTCTATCAAGGTAATAGAAATGACGGGGGTTTCAAGACAGCGTTTTGTGATGCAGCTTGAGGTGGAGTAAATCAGGCCAGAGCATCCTACTGCTCTCCGTTTCTGCCACCCATTCTCAGAAAGCCAGGAAAGGCTGCCAGCACTGTCCCCGGGTCGGGCAATCTATTTCTGCTACAGACTCTAGTTCCAGTAAGGAAATAAGGATCCCAAGCTCACTGCCCCCTTCTAGAGTAGAGCTTTCCAACACAAACGCAAGGCTGGGCGCAGTGTAGCTTTCGGTTACCTCGGAGCCACATTACAATGTGTACAGAGGCCAGACCATGGTGCAGAGGTACGACAGGACACTCAGTGAGGCTGCCCCACATGGGACTGTTCCAGGTCTTCTTGTCCAAAGATCCCTGAGTATGCTGGGCACACACGTGGTGATCCGGGGCTGTCTATGGCTGGAGGTGGATCACGGAGCCTGAGACCCCGTTAGAGGTGTGTATCTTTCTGCCTATCTGCCTCTGCCTCTCTCTGGCTCATGGAAGAAATAAACGTCTTTTAAAAGTACAAAAGAGGGGGACCAGCTATTGGCATAATGGCTGTGTTGCTGGACTCCTATGTAGTTGACCGCAGTTCGAGTCCCGGACTCGGTGGCTTAAACTCACGCCAGGCATGTGTGTGTGTGTGCCCAAGATCCTGAGAGGAGAATGGAGAAGGGATTGTAGCATGGCCATCCCCCCTGGGGGGTGATTTCTCGCTTTCTATCTCTCTGTCTCTCTCTATCTTTCTGGCAAATGCATGCTCATAAAAACCTCTCCAAAAAAAAAAAAAAGTACAAAATAGGACTGGCAGGTGGTGTGGCTGCTAAGGCACTGGATCCCACATGGCCAGCTTCATGGTTAGATCTCAGACCCTGTGGCTTAAGAATCACACTGGGCACGTGTGTGTGCATGCCCAAAATCCCGAGAGGAGAGTAGACAAGAAGGGATTACAGTATGGTGTCCACCCCCAGGGGATGATTTCTCGCTTTCTCTCTCTCTCTTTCTCTCTCTCTTTCTCTGGCAAGTGCATGCCTATAGCAAAACAAACAAAAACTAATCCACTCTCCCCCCAAAAAGTACAAAGAGTTAGTTTATCTTCATGATCTATTTTACTTTACCCAGTGTATACAAAATATTATTATTTCGGCACGCAATGTCAGACATTATTAACAAGGCACTTTACATTTCTGGGCTTTTAAAACTATGTCTTTGAAATCTGATGTGTATTTACACTTGCAGTATATACCAATTCAAGCACTAAATCTCATTAGAAATATTTGCTATATGTGTAGATTTCGTAAAATGTATAATTTAAAAAGTGGGCTCATAGACCCAGATTGTTCCAAATGTACTTAAAAATTTTCCAGTAACTGGACTGAGTATCTGTTTTTCAATTTACATTTATTTGGGCCAGTAGGTGGCATGGTGTTTAAGGTGCTGAATTCCCACATGGTTGACGGAAGTTCAAGTCCCAGACCTGGCAGCCTGAAAACCACAACAAATAAATAAATAGTTTTAAAAAGAAATTAAGTAAAATGTAAAATACAGTTTCTCAGTTGCACTAGCCATCTTTTTCAAAATAATTGTTTTATTTAACTTTATGTATTTATTTATTTTAATTTGACTAGAGAGGAACAGAGTGAGAGAGAGAGAGAGAG